GTGTATGTCTGGGGGAACAGATGGCACGAGTCGAACTGTTCATCTTCTTTACCAACCTCCTTCGTGCATTTACCTTCCAGCTCCCTGAGGGAGTAAAAGAAACCAACCTGGAGTATGTTTTGGGTGCAATACTGCAGCCACATCCATACAAACTCTGTGCTATTCCACGCTAGTCTGAGACACACTGCAATGGAGAGACTAGTCAGTAACTGCAGATCCTTTCCAGACACTATCCCTGTCTCAATTGTATTCAAATGTAGGTAGCTCAGTATAGCAAATTAGTATTTTTTATTTAGGAGCTCTGACCTCATATACTGAACTTCTCAAAATGAAAATAAGTGTACTTGCCAAAGCTCATATAATTGTGTCTTAGGCATATACAAATCCACAATAATACACTTCAAAATAAATGTATTTTCACACTCACAGCAGCAATGAGTTAGATATAGGATTTTAGAGAAGTGACCTGTATCAAGCAGTTTCCTGCAAATGTGCTCTGTCAGGTATCACACTCTTAAAATGGCACAACTGTTCCGATGCAGAGAGGATGCCTAAATAAAAAAAAACATTTCCTTCAGTAAGCTGCTACTTCTCTGAGTTATAGGTCTTTTCTTACACCTTCCTGCAGAAGGTAACAGTATCACTTAGTGTTGACTCCTTTTCTTTTCACACTCCCACAAAGCATTAAATAGTGTAGCATAAACCTCACACACAAGTGACTGCAGAATAGGACCTCTCATAGCACAGTCCATTCAGAAATCCTTACACCTCATTTTACATCCTCAGTATCCAATTCCTATGTCATCACAACTCAGGTCCATGTGCTTTCATGATCCTTTTCTTCCTTTTTTTAGAAACATTACTGTAGGATCCAGTAGTTTCCCATTTGAACAGAAAGGAACAGCCTTCCAAGAACTTAAGAAAACAAACAGAGATGCCAATATTTGTTAAAGGGGGCACAGTACAGATTTATTACTCATGGTGTTTTCTTTTGTTCTTTTCCCACATCGACAGATGTGGAAGGTTTTGATCATTTAAGATTCAGCTGTGAGCATCCTAAATGCTTTCAATTGTCAAAAATCAACAGGAGCCAACAGAAATTATGGCAGGATGAAGTTAAAGGCAGGAGTATTACGTATTTCTTGGACATAAAACTAATGGAAGAGTTGATTCTCCTCTCCAATATTTCCAATTCTTCCCTTCCTTCTGGTGAAAACCCCAGGGCTCTAACACACTGTAAAGTTTACTACCACAGAACAAATGCAAACTCAACATCATTGACATTTTTCACCTTTTTAATAAAAACCATTTTAAAACTTTCAATGTTACTTTATTTTTATTGAGGAAAATATAACATTTAAAAAATCCTGCTTGAATAAGAAATACTTTCAAACATAAATTAAGAAAAATCTCTTAAACTTCATATTTCTTACAGTGAGGGCAGATCTTGCATAAAACACATTCTTGCAGATTTACAAAAACAGTCTGACAGGAGAGTTCATAAACAAAAGTTTTCAAGTCTTAGCTTTTTCCTTTCTGGCATTCCTTCAAGGAAAACTCACCAAAAAATTTTTCCTTTCAACCCACCATTTGCATGGTTCCATAAAGGGCCCAAGATAAAGTGCTCAGCAGCAGGACTGGCAGTGTCAGATATAAGTTTGGACTTTCTCTACTCCAGTGTATTTTGATGGTTCTTGAGGTATGACCTACCTGAAAAAAAACTCCAGTATCTTCCTCCTCCACTTTGGTCACCTGAAGTTATTCTGTCAGGTTGTTGGGGACTTTTTTCAACAAAATATTATTTCATTACCATAGAATGGTTGTAGTTGGAAGGGAATTTTAAAGATCACCCTGTTTCAAGCTCCCTGTCATGGGCAGGGACACATTCCCATAGACCAGGTGAGGTCCATCCAACTTGGCCTTGCACACAGGTTTTCTGGATTTCTTCCAAAGTTGTAGCTTGGGTTAAAACATGCACATATTCTTCACCTGTATTTTTGAAGAACTGAGGTACCTTAGGGTTTGCTGTACAATGCTTGTTCTGAAAACACTGGAAGAACAAATACTTAAGAGTGTACATGATTAAAGGAGGTATTTTTACAAAGAAGTCATCGTAGGCCTGACAGTAGGTACCAGTGAAAAAGAGTTGAGCTAAGAGCATCTTCTTGTTATTCCATTTAAAACCAAGATCAGCAAGAGGTGAGGCATTCCTTGGCTTTCTGATGCTTCTTGAAATGACAGCGTGAGAATTCCAGATTACTTCTCCATCACAGTTGTAAAGGAAATCTATAAAAAAAAGTTATTTCACAAGTTATTTTTTTGTCAAGAAGGAATTCATAAGGAATTATAGTGAATCAGAGAAAAGAAAGATTTAGAAATTAAGAGCAAAATGCAAACCTTTCCTGTGAAACATTTTTAAAAGCTTTGAAAAAAAAGTTGTGAAAGCATTTAAAAAGAAACATATCTTTGAATAGATTCCTTTTGACAGAATGGCCTTGCAATGTCTTGTTTTCAAACCAACGACAACAAAGGACATTCATTATACACATCATCTCCTAAATATCGAAATAACAAGAACCACATGGAAAGTGCACACAGGTCTGTGCCCATTTTTGTGAGGCACACAAAATCCACACTGCTTGTGTGGTTTTAAGGACAAAATGTAATCACTGGTCATCATGACCTACATTAAGAAAATGAGCAGCCAGTTCTAACCATGGGTGAAGAGTTTTCCCTATGATTCTTGTTTTGTTAGGACTTCAGAGGAAAAGATCCAAGTATCAAGAATATTATCAAGGGCATGTTTTGATCCACCAGCCTCATCAGGTATCTTTAAACCACTATTAAAATAACAGTTAAAATGAATTTTTAATTCACCAAATTTTAACCAAGTTCTCCTCTCCACTCAGCAAGAACACCCTAAGTATTAGGTACTCAGCACTCATATCCAGCACTTCAACACTACATGCATATCTAATCAAGTGAAACAGTAACAAAATATTGAACAGCTGACACAAACTTGATCAGAACGACTTGCACACCAAGGATTCTATTGGTAGGATGCTATATGGGCTGGCTGTAAGGAAACAACCAGAAAAATCTAAAAAACTAAACTCTAGAGTGGGGAAGATTAATCCTTGAATTGTCTGTTTAATGATCTTCCTTTTTCCAGGACACCAAATTAATATCAAAGCCAATCAGAGGGAGGAAGGATGTGATATACAATTAGAGCAAGTAGATCTATGGTGACAATAAGAATGAATCCATCAAAATTTGTCCAGCAAGATGTATCACTTACCTCTTGCAATACTTGTCCAAGTGTCTCCAGGCTGTGAATGCGTTTCCTGTGGAAAACCCAAACCACACTTATTTCTGCACAAAGCATTGGGGATCTTGTAAACATAAATCATTTATCCCACAGGTAAAAGAGAAGAGTTATGCCAGGCTTTCTTCCTCATCCTTTTCCTAATGGAATCTTGATGCAATTCTATGGAATCTTACTGCAATCTTATGGAAGCTACAAACTCCAATTCAGACCTCTTGCTACTCACATCAGGCAGAACTACCCTGAATAAGGTTAGCTGCTCATTGCATTTTCTCAAAAACAACCCTAATTATTAGAAAACACAGCTAGATTTTGGCTTAAGTCCTAATACCAGACACATCTGGTAATTGGTTGCTTTAGTAACTTCTCCACCACTAGATATCTGTTGTTCAGCAACTGATGCAAGCAGATTTAACAAATACTTCTTTTTGCAAGTTTTTCTTCCAACATAAGCAAAGTGGTAAGCAATGCTTGCAAACAGCAGGAA